TACTAGTACAGTAATGTCTCTCTAATTGACGCTTAGCTTGAAAAGAAAAATGGACAACTTGGGAAAAGGAGGTACGATTGCACGAGTCTTGCACCTCGTTTTTATAATTGTTGATAATCTGCCACTATAAAAACGAGCCGCAAGACTCGATCAATCGTATCTCCTCTTTCCAAATTGTCCACTTTTGTGTACAATCTGAGCGTCAATTAGGGAGACATTACTGTATATACTTATACCGAGTATAAGTATATTATATTATATTATATTTCTTGAAGTGATACATTCTTTGAATGTACCGGATGTAGACCTAGCCTATGAAGCCTTGCTTGGAATTGAAACGGAAGTGGTAATAGTCATCGGTTCGATGTGCCAAACGTAGGTTTTAGGCACATCTAACAACTGTTTCGATTTTAGATTCGTAGTAGTATTATGTACCATTTATATATATAGAATTCCAGGCCAACTTCGATATATGGTAGCATATTTCTAACCGTGATTTATTTTGCTAATAGTTATCATAGCTATAGTTTCTCATCAACAAAATTTATAGAAAAGATCTCGCAGATTCCTTTAACCCTTTGCACTGGAAGCCATTTTAACCGTAAATCTAAATTAATTTTTCCGACTTATGGTATTTCCAGTTTATGTGACAAAGTGTATTTTGTACAATGAAATTGAGTCTTGTGACTCATACAACAGTTAGATTTTTAACAATTTTTTACATCTAAACTTTGATAATATAAAAATTATCTTGGAACGTGATGTAACAATCTCTCTCTTAGTAGTGCCTCAGAGTCGCAACTCGAGTACAAATGATTAATATTACACGCACATTGTGCGTGCGTGTCTCTCTGTGATTTTGAGTAACAACGCGCAGGATTGCTAATTAAACATTTTAGTAAACATATTGAGCTACTATCCGACAATAAGTCTTGCACTCTGTACCGATGAGAAAATGCAGCTATTTTCTATAGCGTCTAATTAACCGTATACGTGGCATAATCAAAAAGTTCGCGGATTCTTATTTATTTTTTAAATTGTTTACTTTAGTCGTCAAAACAGTAAACGGTAAACAGAAAATTCTCCCTAATTGACGCTCAGATTGTACACAAAAATGGACAATTTGACGTCTCACATAGTACTCGGTAGTAAATATGCGCATCTTCGAGTACTTCGAACAAGTTCATCGTACATCGATTTGCGTCGTTATTCAAAATGTCGATTTTTCGAGTTTCAACTCAAATTGAATTTTGTTAACAAACGCTGACGATTTTGTGTCATCTAATGGTATGTAAACACGAATATTGACGAATATTGTTCCTGGAAAACAACACAACGTGTAAAAACAACGTTTTTTCTGCGATCCTGCTTGGATAACAGCATTTAGCAGAGCGACGATTTCTTATCGATATGAATATATATCTCCTAGTCAGTGCTAATGCCAGCGAATCGCAAATAGTATTACTACTGCTTTAGCTGTAGCACGATGCGCGACTATCGTTTTACTTTTGGATAGAAATTCGCGGATAAGTAGCGACATGTGAACCGGTGCGTGGAGCACCTGCCACGAGCAATATTTTCGCATTTCAGATCGTTACTTCCGGATTGTTTCACGCGACGGTATAACGCATACAGATAATACTTCTCATTAACCGTTGCGTCTGCTGATAAAAATTCATAGCGGAGTAAGCCCTTGTAACCGGAGAAAACAGTATAAAACTACCTCCAGGAAAACAAGAAATTGCTGAACCAACGGAAGCATGCGTCTTGTTTATTTGCTTGCCAAGAATAAACGAGGAATCCGGGATAGCTGGAAATTGTAGAATGTACGTGTAACATACGAAACTTAAAAGTTC